AAGGTATGGGACAATTAAATAGGGACATCCCAATATGGTAAAATGGGACATTTAAAAGGGGACGGAAGGAGTACTCTGTAATAAATTGACCTTAATCCATGATTCTATTATAATCAACTATGTAATGCCTTCACCAAACTCAATCTTATTCTAAAGCTAATTTAGATTTATAAATACCACGCCATCAAATCACAAAATGGTTTTTTACCTTATCCTCATCAAAAGAACATTTATAGTCATTGCTACATCGGGATAACTGAATTCTAGTGTGAATTGAAATCTAGATAGGTGTAGGTAAGAAAAGTAAAAAAAAGTACTATCCTCCGTTCCATAAAAGTTGCAACAGTTTGACTTTCACGTTTGCCAACGCGCAACTTTGACTATAATTATATTTATTTACGTATTAGTAAACATTAAAAAAAGTTAATATATTGGAAATTTACACTAATGCAAATTTATTAATATTTTATACATAATATTTTTATTATATATATTATTAGAAAATCGTAGTCAAAGTAAGGTGTGTGAATAGTGCAGAAATTCAAATGTTGCAACTTTTATGGAACGGAGGAAGTATATGTGATTGAGATTTATACACAGAAGAGTTAAAATTAGGGGAAACTTTCACCGGACTTTTTTTTTATCACATTTGGATTTGCCGCCCCTTTTGTAAAACATAATTCTCTCTGTCCAATCTGTGAGAGAATAATTATAGGTGAGGAGGAGAGACCTGCAAATTCAGTCGGCTTGTTAAAATTGTCCAATTTGTCATTTTGGATCTAGCTCACTAGCTAATTTTTCTTAATTTATTCTTATTCACTCATGCCAGATTCTAATTTTTCTTAATTTATTCTTACTTTATCAATTCAATATCAACCATATAAATTCACTTTTCTTAATGATGATGTATTCTTCTCATATCTGAATGTCAATCAAACTGATGTAATACTATTTTTCTGTATTAAATACTCCCTTCGTAACACTTATATCTTCTCACTTTCCTTTTTAGCTGTAACATTCATATCTTCTCATTTCTAAATCTTCCTATCATACCCTCAATAATTTTAAAAATAATACACTATTACAATTATTTTTTTTTGATTTATCATTCATTCCAGCACACTATTTCATTATTTTCCCATCATACCCTCAATAATTTATAATCCCCTTGTCCCATTTAAATCTTTAGTCCTTTTTAGGTGACTCCTTTTACATTAAATGTCCTAACTACCCTTCACCACTCACCCACTTTTTATATTTGAGTGGATAGCATTAATTCCCCCAAAAGTCAAAGGGTATCCAAGTCATTTGTTCTTCTATTAATTGAGCTCCTAAAACAACGCCAAAAGCAAACGTCAAGATTCAGCCAGGACAGAGGGAGTATCTCCTTTCAATATTCTTAATCTCACCTACTTTTCAAATAGGAAGATATATTTGTTACCGAAGTAGTACTAGGTATACTAGTTACTCCACCCGTGCGTTGCACGGGAGTGAGACACCCACATAATAATTTAGATATAGTTATATATTTAAAAATATTTAAAAAATATGATTGTGTTAGAATTATTTGAAAACATTACATAAATTCTGAATAAATGGTAAGAACTAAATGTAAAACATCACACGATGAAATGGATGCGCATTTAAGTCCACCACATTATAACGAAAATTATAAATTACTCTAAAGTACATATTTCTTTGTAAACAACATTCAATGTTGATTTGTTTGGTTTTCCATCTTCGTCATTACAAACTCCAATCTCATGAACTTGTTACTCTCCACATTGCCACGTACAAATGTTTGTGAGTAATAATGGGGCGTCAGAGTAAGATAACAACTTTTTCCAACGATTGTCAATGACTCTTATTAATGGCCATTGCAAACCTAACAATTTTAGGCGGAGAATGCTTAGGCGGGAATTTTTTTTCTCTCCAATATAGTGTTTTTAGGTATAGGATGAAATTACATTTTGGGATTTTAGGATGATGATTTTTTTTGTAGAAAGTGTAATTGCATTTTAGGATTTTAGGCGGAGAATGCTTAGGTGGAAGATTTTTTTTCTCTCCAGTATAGTGCTTTTATGTATAGATGATTTTTTTTGCAGAAAGTGAAATTACATATTAGGATTTTAGGCGGAGAATGCTTAGGCGGGAGAATTTTCTCGATCCAATGTAGTGCTTTTAGGTATAGGATGTTTTTTTACGGAAAGTGAAATTTCATTTTAGAATTTTAGGTGGAGAATGTTTAGGCGGAAGAATTTTCTCTCTCCAATGTAGTGCTTTTAGGTATAGGATGATGATGATGATGATGATTTTTTTTGTGGAAAGTGAAATTACATTTTAGGATTTTAGGCGGAGAATGCTTAAGCGGGATAATTTTCTCTCTCCAATGTAGTGCTTTTAGGTATAGGATGATTTTTTTTTGTAGAAAGTGTAATTGCATTTTAGGATTTTAGGCGGAGAATGCTTAGGTGGAAGATTTTTTTTCTCTCCAGTATAGTGCTTTTATGTATAGATGATTATTTTTGCAGAAAGTGAAATTACATATTAGGATTTTAGGCGGAGAATGCTTAGGCGGGAGAATTTTCTCGATCCAATGTAGTGCTTTTAGGTATAAGATGTTTTTTTACGGAAAGTGAAATTTCATTTTAGGTGGAGAATGCTTAGGCGGAAGAATTTTCTCTCTCCAATGTAGTGCTTTTAGGTATAGGATGATGATGATGATGATGATGATTTTTTTTGTGGAAAGTGAAATTACATTTTAGGATTTTAGGCGGAGAATGCTTAAGCGGGATAATTTTCTCTCTCCAATGTAGTGCTTTTAGGTATAGGATAGGATAAGCGGAGAATCCTTAGGCGGGAGAATTTTCTCTCTCCAATGTAGTGCTTTTAGGTATATATGTTTTTTTGTGGAAAGTGAAATTATATTTTAGGATTTTAGGCGGAGAATGCTTAGGCGGAAAAATCTTCTCTCTCCAGTGTAGTGCTTTTAGGTATATGATGAAATTACATTTTAGGATTTTAGGATTATAAGATGATGATTTTTTTTGTGGAAAGTATGATTACATTTTAGGAATTTAGAAGGAGAATGCCTAGGCGAGAAAGTCTCTCTCCAGTGTAGTGCTTTTAGGTATATGATGATGATTTTTTTTGCGGAAAGTGAAATTACATTTTAGAATTTTAGGCGGGAGAATTTTCTCTCTCCAGTGTAGTGCTTTTTGCCTTTTAGGTATAGGATGATGATGATATTTTTTTGTGGAAAGTGAAATTACATTCGGGATTTTAGGCAGAGTGAATTTTCTCTCTCGAGTGTAGTGCTTTTAGATATATAATAATGATATTTTTTGCGGAAAGTGAAATTACATTTTAGGATTTTATGCGGAGAATGCTTAGCTAGGAAAATTTTTATCTCTCCAGTGTAGTGCTTTTAGGTGAGGGATGATGATGATGATGATGATTTTTTTTGTGGAAAATGAAATTACATTTTATTATTTTAGGCGGAGAATGTTTCAGTGAGATAATTTTCTCTCTCCGACGTAGTGTTTTTAGGTATAGGATTACGGCTTTTCTCCCGAACAGGATTTCTGCCCAACAGAAACAGATATCTCTGACTTTGAGATAGAGATGTGATTATTTAGAAAACGAGACACAATTAAATTTATATTAAAATCGGGGTGAAACTGTAATAATAATAAAAGTAAAAGTCAAAAGATGTGAAGGGAAAAAGGGCGGGGGCGAGGGACCAATGCCATTGCATGCATTTTGTTGCAGTTGGTTTGTGCAACACTTCTCAAGGATGAAGACAAGAGACCGCTGGGGTGGGGTGGGGTGGGGTCTGGGTGGCAGTTCAAAAGTGTATTTCTGATGACACCCAACACGCTTCCTGTGCTGTGCTCTGTTTCTGTGCGTATATATAGTCACACGTAGAAAGAGAGAGGGCCAGCCAGGGCTGAGATTTGAGAGTGAGAGATGGCGGCGAAGGGTGGCGGCAGCGGCGGGAGGGGGAGATCGTACGCGCTGCTGCTGATGCTGGCGTTTGGAGCTGCCATTCTCGGGGTTATGATTCTTCACAAGTTCAGAGAGAGACGCATCTTCAACCTTCTCGTTCAAGAAAAAGACCGCCAGCTTCTCTCCCTTCACCTTCTTTTGCAGGTCTCTCCTGGCCTCCTCACCTATATATATAATTCTGTCCATTTTACAGGCCGACTGAATTTCTTGTGCACATACCATTTTTTACGGGTCTATATAAACATTGTCCAAAATTGGTCGTACATAGACAATTCGATAGACTTGTAAAATGGCTCGTACAAAAATGTGTACCCACGGAGAATATTACCCGAAATAGAACTAAACAGTTTGAAAATTCCAAAATATTACTAATTACTGTCATGTTTTGGCAGTACCGACTTCAAACATGGCAGTATGTTTTAAACATGACAATAATTAGTCCTATTTTGAGAATAAAAACAGTGTAAAGTTTTATTTAACTTTTTTATTTTTTCTATTTTAATTATATAAATGAACAAATATAATTTCAAGTTTTCAAGAAATAAATCTTATGTTTTTCTTTTTTTACTAGAATGCGTAGTTCAAGAAATAATAAAAAAATGTATACAAGAAAGCTCATTCTATTATGGTCAACTGTGGGAAAACATTTATTTCCTTATATCTTCAAATTTTTGTTTCCAAGAAGAAACAAATGTGTTGTTCCCCATTTGTGCCATCCTCTTGAATGTGGTTGGGTAAAATCCTCATTCTTACCGTACGTAGATGTGTCTTCTGTGATACAACCTTGAAGAATCGTTTTGAATTTGAAAAAGGTTTTACAAAAAAGGATGACCTTTTGATATTTACATAATAACCTATAACCTCTCATCGCAGTTGTATGGATTCGAACTCGAGATTTACCTTTTTTTTACTACGTCCATCGGAAAAGGTTTTAAATTTCTATGTATATGAATCTTTGTCTTGAAAACTGAAGTACATCAAGTTTTTGTTTGCCTGTGTGTTGCAGAAGGAAAAAGACAGTGCGAAAGATGCCAAAAGGCAAATTGATGACATGAGAGGAAAAATGCACAAGCTACGGACTAAGAAGGCGGATCTTGAAGCCAGAATCCAAGAGATGGATTCCACCATCTCTTCCCTCAGAGAAGAACAGCGAACCATATCATCCTCATTGGAGGAGAAACAGAAGCAGATCAATGCACTTATGGATTACAAGCGAGGGGAGAGTCGAGAATCTGCCAGGTTAACGGCTCTGTCTGAGGCCCTCCAAAAGAAAGCAGCTGAAATCGAGGAACTGAAGCGGCGTGTCGATTTGCCAGTCAAGGTCTGGTCAGTCAGATCTGATGATCGGTCAAACCTGCCAGTCAATTTCACATCTAAAGCCTCCGGAGAAGAGATCGGAAATGAAAACAGAAATAGAAAAGATGCAGAAACCTCAGGGCAGACACAGGATAGGATGCAGGAGGGGAAGAATGAAACTGGTGATTCACAACAGGTTTCCGGAAGCGGGACTACCTCCACCGTTGTAGACAGCTATCAGTCAAGAGAAGATGGGGTTAGCTCTGATACCATAGGAAGAAGAATACGGGGGAAGAGGAGGAGGATAATAAGTTATAAGGACCTGAAATCTGAAAATGGGGTTAAGAGTATGAGGAGTAGGAAATCATTTACAGATAGTGAATCTCATCTTGAAGAATCAAACAGAGAAATGGATGCTAGAAGAACAGCAAATGGAAAATCAGCAAATGGAAGAAAGAAAAGTGATCTGCAGAAGTTACCTGATAATGCAACATTTGAGGGAGACAGCAAATTACTTAACAAACTTGATGACCAGAAATCAGAAGAGACAGCCAACACCACAATGAGAAACAAGGACAGAAGGAACATAACTTACACAAGCATGACAGAAAAGAGGGCAAAAGAAGATGTTCAAGAAACAGCAATGGAAGATGAAACTTCTAGAAAGTCAAACTCCGGCACAGATGACATTGGATTTTAGACTGCTTCATGTCATTACCCATTGTTAGACAATTTCATGCTTTTCTTGCCATCACAGCTTCTCTAAAGATCAGTCTAATTGTTTTGCTTCAATGTCCCTTTTTTAATAGATACTATAATTGCTTCAACAACTAAGTTCTTAAGTAATATCTAGCAGAGCTCATAGACTTTCTCAGATGTTCATTTGGACTTTTGGAGTATGTTGGTATCGGAAAGCAGTTTTCTTAAATATATTTTTTGTTTGGTCACTAATCTTTAAGAAGTTATGTTCATTTGTCAATCAATCATAAGTATAGACGCGCAAAAATAAATTTGAACCAATATGTAATAAAGATTAAGAGTTTTAATATAACTTTAACTTTCCTTCAAAGTAATACTACCTCCGTCCCACAAACATTGAGACATAAAGAAGTGGTGCAATTATTAAGAAAAGTAAGTTTATGTGATTGATATGAAGTTGACGAAGTATGGAAGTAAGAATAAAACAATAATGATTTAGAATCGCACAAACTTTACCAATTTTGGTATAAGACAATCTTATTGGGGCGGACCGAAAAGGAAAGATCGAGACAATCTTAGCAAGATCAGGTAGTACTACGTATGATTTAGAGATTGAATCTATCTTTAACTTTCTCTGAAAGATTATTCCCCTTTACTTTTCATCTATATTTTCATCCCTATGCAAAAATAGAACCTTAGCCTGTGCGAAGTTATCATCTTTCAGTCTTTTATTTGCAAGTGATTGCAAATTGAACTCACATACTGCCAACTAAACACACATCAATGCGGTCCATAAAAGAAACTTGTGCAGTAGTTCAGGAGAGATTTAGGGTACATTAAACGTGAACTAGGCATTGCACATCCAAATAGATAAAGATGAAACCCATAAATGGCATCAAAAAGAACAACTGCATTATTGCTAGCAAAATCCCATCATCACTAATGCATCCCAAAAGTTCCAGCTTTACTAAGACACTTGAACCACATTCTGTCAAATGAAAAAGATAATTAAAAATAAAATAATAAAAACCATGAATAAAAATTCAGTCTTTCATAGTGAGAGACAATCGTCTAGTAAAATAAGATCAAAGTTTTTACTCTTTCAGACGGTTCAGACCATCTTCCAAAATGGCACTTATTCACTAAATCCCTTCCTCACGCTAAGGGTCTATTTGGATGGAGGGATGTGGAGAGGAGGCTTTATAGGGATGACTCTTTATATTGATAAATAGAATGCTTTTAAAAACAAATAAAAGGTGATTCATATGTTATACGATCAATCTTATGTTAACCATTCCATTTATATAGAATCTCGATAAATATCAAGATATAGACTAACCCCTCCAACACCCACTGTCCAAACAGACCCTTAGAGAAGAGACAAGAGTTTTAGACTAATAGTAGGGACACAAAGAAGGCCTACAGCCTACCAAGTACCAAGCCAATTACACAGTCTGGATAACCTCCTGGTGTATTTGTAGGCTGAGCTCAATATAATTTATGTTTGAGTAGCAGGTCTGTGAGTGTGCTCAAGATTGGTCATTACAATATTATTACTAATATGAAACTTCAAATTTCCCCAATTTGTAGAGTTTTAAAGCTTAGCATAGAACACAACGGCTAAGATAGTCAAGTGGCTTACTGGCTAAGTCTAGCTAAACCAAGATATACCAGATGCTCAACTCTTCATGAAAAGTGCATCAAATATATGTTGAAACTCGTTTTCTTTGAAAACTACTTGCAAACTATCAAAGCAGTACAGTGAAGATTTAAAGTGAAGTCACTTAAAGCAGTACAATTTAAGCTGAATGATGAGGTATTCAAGCCATAGTTTCTAAAATCTATCTGAAGGAAAAAATATACCTCTTCCTTATTCTTCTTTCCTCCAGTAAAGAACTTATATCCACCATAGATTGCTGTAGCCCATCCAGCCAGGGAGATAAGTACAAACTGCATAGCAAACATACGATTAAACACGCATTTCCTACATCTCAAAACATACGGAAAGATCTTCCATGATACATGAAACTGATTCGTTAAAGAAACAAGTTAAATTGTTTGTTTGTGACATAAATCTCATGGGAGGTTTCATTATTTCTCTCGTTCTATTTAGTGAAATAAAAAACAGCCAAGATTTACAGATGTGCTCTAGGCAGCCTTAGGGCCAAAGGTTAAGTGTGAAATAGGCCATTTTAATAGTTTGTCCAACTACTCGGGCCAAACAGGTTGTTTTTCCTTCCCCCCCCCCCCCCCTTCACACTGTGGTTATGATCTACAACTGGATTAATGATTCTTAGTTTTTGAATAATATAGGCACATGTCCAATAATACAAACAAGATGTGTTTGGTATGTATCAAATAATGAAATAAGTTCAAAACAATGAAGTAATCTTCAAAAAGATGTTCCAAGAGCATATAATCCTGCTTTCAATTAATTTTGTAACCTTCAAAGAATATGGTCTTTTATAAATCAAGTTTGACAAATAGCATGCATACGAATGAACATATTGAATGAAGATTGGGTGAAACACAGACTCATCACTAAACCATCATCCAATTGGTGCCCGGATCTTTCTGCAACACCATTTCTATTATTGGGGTGGGAGGTAGGTCATTTTATCATTGTACAAACTGAATGAATAGTCCACTTAACAGAGCTAAATATTCCACAACGCCCCAAACTTTTCCCAGCCCCCATCTTATGACAAAAAAAACAATGATAGAAAAAAATATGCCTGTTATTTAGAACTCTAGTTCAAGAATAGTTCTGCAATTTCATAACAAGGTATTGGAAAATGGCATGATGTCAGAAAGAGTGGCTTCACATTCAAATGAGCAATTTCTATGTAACATTCCTTAACTATGAATTCAAAACTTGTCATTCCTCCACTTAATATTGAACAGTAGAATATTTACACCTGACTATTTCCTAAGACACCGGTTTGTAAATCAGTGTCTAAGAAAAATTTAAAAAACTCACATGCTCTTCCTTCCACTTCGATGGGCTCATGGGATCTTCCCAAAAATTTACCTTTGGAGGTCCATGGTGATCTGGAATGTCGCAAAAAAATACTTATATCTAAGCGTATATGCTCACAATTAAATACATCCATACAAAATTCAAAGAAAACAGGGGTAGGGGGGGGGGGGGGGGGGGGGGGCTAAATTATGAAAACCGAGAACTAAACGGAAGGAAATTCAGATCGAGAGAGATGAGTACCAGCAGCGCCTGCAAGGCCGCGGCGGGTGACAAAAGACGCAGCTTGAGCGGATGAGCTAGAAGTCGATAGCCGATTACAGATAGCTGCTCGACGAGCCGCCATCAATGCCAACGAGGTAGCCATGGCGTTGCGAGTGTTCTCTCGGATTCTCGGTGATGGAAACTGTACGGAGATGAAAATGTAAAGCAGGCGGCACACAAATTGGGAAGCAAAATTGGCTAATATGAAGGTAAAATAATGACTAATCCTTATTGACCTTTATATAAAAATTAATCTTTACATAATTAATAGGAAAAATTGAAAATAATTATCCCAACTATTAATAATCTCAACTATCGATTATTCCTGAGTCATCTCAACTATAAGTAACATTTTCCAAAAATAGTTTCTAACCTACAATAACCTAATATAACATGTAAAATTTAAATACGAACTATGCATAAGATATAAATAATTCCCATTATAAGTGATATTCTTCTATTAATCTCAATTATCAACTCTTAATTTTAAAAAAATATAAATTTTATCATGAAAATATTTTTATATATTTCAAAATTAAATATTTTTAATCATGTAAAGAATTATTATGAAAAATCTACAAATGTACTGAAGTTAAATAAAATATTTTTAGTCATTTTTTATTTATTTTCACTACAATTTCATTTTTGTTCTTTTTTCTAATTTATTATTCCTAGTTGTGTTAACAAGTTATGATTTGATATTATTTTCCTCTATTCAATTTTACATTTTCTGTTTTCAAAAAGTAAGATGTGACTACAAATTTTAGGATTGAAAGCTTTTTTCTAGTTTCTTCATGAAAATATATTTTATTATATTTTTATGCTATGTTAATTCTAAAAATCTAAATTCTCTATTTTATCCATTCTGGTATTTGTAATTTCTTTCTATTTTCTTTATTTATATAAATTATAAAATATATGGAGTAGTATATCGTTCAATCTTAGTGATTTCGGGCATAGATTTTGTCTATTTTTAATGAATGTATTAATATTTTAATTTTCATTATATAACTTAAAATTACAATATTAATACATTTTCATTAACATAGCCAAAACCTCCAAAACATGTGTCCCAAATCACTAGAATTCAATGATAAACTATATCATATGATTTATAGAATATAATAACTTAAAATAAATAAAAATAGAAAGAAACTTAAAATACTAAAATTGAAAAAATAGAGAGCTTTGGTTGTTACAATTAAGATAGCATACAAATTAAATAAAATAGATTTTCATGAAAAAATCTAGAATAAAGATTTAAATCGTAATTTTTTATAATCACAATATTCTTTTTGAAAACACAAAAGGTAAAATTGAATAAAGGAAAATAATACAAAATCATAACTTGTTAACACAACTAGGAAAAATAAATTGGAAAAAGAAAAAAAAAACGAAACTTTAGTGAAAATAAATAAAATATGACTAAAAATATTTTTATTTAACTTCGGTACATTTGTAGAATTTTCATAATTATTTTTACATGTTTAAAAATATTTAATTTGGCAATTTATAAAAATATATTTTTATATTTTTAAAAAATCGAGAGTTGATACAACAAAAACATCATCCAAGCCTTAGTCCCAAAAGATATTGGGGTCGACTAACATGAATCGATACATGATATCACCACCAAAAGGAAGATCGACTATAGTTGGGTTATTTATAGCTTATGCATAGTTCACATTTAAATTTGACCTGCTATACCAGGTTATAGCAGGTTAAGGACTATTTTTTAAAAATGATCCCTATAGTTGGGACCACCCAGGAATAATCGGTAGTTGAGATTATTAATAGCGGATCGACAATAGTTGAGATTATTATTTTTCATTTTTTTCCTAATTAATACTCTTTTTTATTTAGTTCTAATTCCTACCACATTACCTACATCTCCCCTTTCCCTACCCATCAGCTCATTGTCTCTTCTAGCAACACCTGTCCCGATCACTGGGAATCGCCTCTACCAGTACCGGAGATTTTGATGGAGAAAAATTCAATAATTTTTTGATTTTTTCCATAAAAAATCATCAAAGCATATTTTACTGTCACATGGGCGTATTTCATGGCACCAATTGCATCTGTGGCAACAACAATGATATTTGTTGCAGCCATACTTTTAATGTCGGCGACATAAAAATTTGACGCCGTCATCACATTTTTACAAAATTATTACCTTGTTAGTTGCACTATTATCCATATTTATAGGTAGTTTTTTTGGGAAATAGACTTAAATTTAGTTGTACAGGGGAAATTTGTGATTGTTCTCAAAAGGGGATAGCATATGAATGGCTGGAAGACCTAACATGAGTAGGGCAGAAGACCAGGGATGTGCGAGAGGAGCTGATAGTCAGGTTGGAGAAGACTGTGATTTGTTGGGGGTGCTGGGGTGGAATGGGAGGAGGTGAATAAGGGTAGTGGGTGGTCTCTTGGTCGGAGTGTATACTCGGGTGGAGGGGAGGAGGCGGGGTCTGTGGGTGAAAAAAGGCGGAGGGCAGAGACGGCGGGATTGGTGGTCTTTGAGGATAGCAAAATGATGGTGAGCAGAAGGGTTCAAAAAATGTGTATGGTACGGGTTCTACTATGTAGACCCGCCGAGCATCATGAGTTGTCTTAGTTGGAACTGTCAGGGGCTTGGCAATTCAACGATTGCAAAAGGTGACAAAATTCACTTATTACAAATGAAAACTGGGTTCAATAATTCTTTTTGTGTGGATTGTGTTGATCATAAAGGAGGTCTTGCTTTGTTTTGGGGGGGCGGAGTGCTTGCTGAGGTTACGGGTGCTAGTGCCCATTTCATTAATGCTTCTGTTGGGTTGGAAACAGGGGATAACCCATGGCATTTTACGAGGTTTTGTGGCTGCCCGGAAAGGTTCGAGAGGATGGAGTATTGGGGGATTCTACGACAACTAAGCTAACGACTTGATTTGCCTTGGTTAGTCATGAGGTGATATCAATGATATTATGTTCCCAAATGAGAAGTGAGGGCGGGTTCCCTAACCGAGATGGCTCATGTAGGGTTTTCGGGAGACGGTGTGGGGGAGTGGCTTGTCTAGCTATCATTTTCAGGGATATCAATTTACTTGGGAAAGAGAGAGGGATACTTCTGGGTGGGTGGAAGAAAAACTTGACCGGATCCTGGTATCAAGTACTTGGGAGGAAAGCTTTGATGAGGCAAAAGTTGTTTCACCGGAGGGAGCACCGAGCGATCATCTCTCCCTATTTATAAAACTTCGGCGAAGTGAGAGGGTTAATCGCAGGAGGAGATTCAAGTTTGAGAACATCTGACACGAGGAAGGGAAGTGTAGGGAGGTGGTAGAGAAGAGTTGGGGATTGAGAAAGAGTAGGGTATTGTGAAACAGTCTGAGATTTGTGGAAGAGAGTTTGGGAGGTGGGGGCTCAAAGGAATAAGGGGTTGGGTGAACACATTGATTTTTGTATTAAAAAAAAGACTTCAATACCTCTGAGGACATTCTGATACTTTTTGTGTGCGCGAATTCAGTAAGGTCAAATGTGAATACCTAGAGTTATTGGAGCAACAATAAAGATATTGGCAGCAACGTGCAAAGATGTATTGACTGCAGGAAGGGGATACAAATACTAAATTCTTCCATAATGCTATCAAGCAACGAAGAAGAAGAACAAAGTGGAAGGTTTTAGAGTGGCTGGTGGTAGGTGGGAGGAACACCGAAAGGAGATCGGGCGAATGGTGGAGGATTAATTCACTAACAATGTTTCTTCTGTGCAGGATCCTATTGAGCCAATTGTTTATTGTGTGGAGCACAAAATCGCGTCTAGATGAAATTCCCAGCTTTTGTGGCCGTTACAGGCAGATGAAATTAAGAAGGCTATATTCTCCATGCATTTAGATAAATCTTCGGGGCCAGACGGGATGAGCCCATGTTTTTATCAGCATTTTTGGGACCTGCTGAGGCCGAATGTGGTTGCTTTCTATCAAGAGATTTTTAGGAGTGGTATTATTCCAGAGGGATTAAATCATACTAATATTGTATTAATTCCTAAGAAAGATAATCGTGAGACTATTGTATATTGGAAACCGATCTCGCTTTGTATTGTTTTGTTTAAAAAAATCCACTGTGTTGGATAATAGCTTGAAAGTTTTGTTGGGCTATACTATTTCTAAAAACCAGAGTGCCTTTGTTCCCGAAAGTTCTATTATTGATAATGTCATGATTGCTTTTGAGGCTCATCACTACTTAAAGCTGAAGAGGCTAGACATGAGTAAAGCCTATGACATGATAGAGTGGGATTTTGTGAAGGCTATTCTATCAAGATTGGGCTTTGATGTTCAATGGATTTATTTGGTGATGACCACGGTGAAGACAGTTTCTTACTCGATTCCTTTCAATGACTGAGAGTTGGGACTGATTACTCCTCATAGGGAGCTAAGACAAGGGGCTCCTTTGTCCCCATATCTTTTTATTCTAGTAGCAGAAGGTCTGCGTGCATAGATACGACACGATGAGGCGGACGACAAAATTCATGGGGTGAGGGTGACAAGAGGGGCCCCCAGAATTTCCTGTCTCCTTTTTTGATGATGATTGCTTTTTTTAAGGCTTCCCACGATGAGTGCTCGTACATTTTGGATATTTTGGAGGACTATGAGGCAGACACAAGTCAGGTTAATAATTATTTGAAATCTACCATCTTCTTCAGCGCTAATGCAGATGGGGGCTGTCATGAAGGGATTAGAGAGATGTTGCGGGTTAATTCTATGGAGGACGGAGCTAAATATATCAGCCTCCCTTTTTTAGTTAGGATAAGGAAGAGGGAGTTTCTTGTCTACATCAAGGAGCGAGTTATTAAAAGACTTAGCTGTTGGAATCACAAAGTCTTATCTTGGGCTGGTCGAGAAGTGCTAATTAAAATGGTGCTCCAGGCTATGCCAAGTTATGCAATGAATAATGTCTTTCTCCTACCACAAGAGATGTGTGTAGAGATTGAGTGTATTATGAATGGACTTTGGTGGCAAGGTGAGGCGAGGAAATGTATTCGGTGGACAAATTGGGAGTGTCTTTGTGTTCCGAAGAAGTTTGGGGGAATGCTAACGTAGCTAAGGTGTACTGGTGTAGCTAAGGTGTTTGGTGGACAAATCTAAAAAAGCATGTAGATTAGTCGTGGAACCAGAGTCCTTGGTAGCTAAGGTGTTTCGAGCGAGGTACTTTCCTCACTCTTCTTTTCTTGATGCTAAGATATGTGGCTCTCCATCCTTTATTTGGAGGAGCATTTTTGAAGCAAAAGTCGTTGTTAAAGACAACTTCAGGTGGCGAATAGGGGACAACAAATTTGTGAATATCTGGAGGGATTCTTGGATGCCGGAAGATTCAAATCCATGACTGTCCTCAGAGGTTATCAAAGGGTTGGAGATGACTACGGTGGTCGGACTGATTGAACCTGACGCTAGATAGTGGGACGAAGACGGGAGATTTTTGGCATACACTTTTTTTGGCATTTGGAAGAAAGAGGCAATTTTACCATTAAAAGTTGCTACCATGCTCTCTTGGGAGAACACTGGGCGGACCAAAATGCAGAATGGACTCGTACGTGGAAGCTCCGCATCCCACCGAAAGTTAAAGCTTTTCTCTGTAAAGCATGCGCGAGGCACTTACCTACAACAGAAAATATGTCCGTCCAGTACATGAACTACTCGCTTTTATTCAGGTGTGCGTCGAGGGAGTTTGTAGCACTTGAGATTAATTCAAACGGATTTATAATACTACTCATGCCAACAAGGTGCATCTCCCTTTAAGGGAGCTTATCAGCTAAAAACTTCAAAGTTAATCGTGCTTGCATGGGAGTAGTCGTAGGATGGCTGATCCCTGTGAAGTTTCTCAGGGGGCGCACGAGTGAGGATAAAGTGCGGGAAAAGGCTAGTGGTGGTTTGTGAGGAGAATACTAGAGGTCCGTAGAGGTCCGGAGTAACTACATCGGGTTCTGTAGGGTCGGGTGTTACAAGTTGGTATGAGAGCAACCCTGCGACAGTGTGTTGATTCGGTGGATATCGGGTGGACACTTAGCAGGGGAGGAGTATGGGGTTCGGTTTAGATTTGAGATTGATTTATGGGCGCATTGGATAGTTACCCGAGTAACTACATCGGATCCTGCGGGTCGGGGTGTTACAGAGTTGAAACGTTGTTGCGCACTTTTTGCATATGTTCGCAAGCAAAGCAGTTTTGGGGCTTACTTGGTTGGGATTTACCTGTGGCAAGGGAGGCGAATTTGTTGCTTGGGTGGAGAAGTTCTTCCGCCTCATGGAGGAAGAAAGTTGGTGTGTTTTTGTTATGGTTGCCTAAAGTATTTGGCAAGCAAGAAATCTGAAATGTTGGGAGCATACGGATAGTTTAGCAGGGAGTATTGTCACAGAAGGCAAAGTGTTTTTAGAAGGTTGGCGTAGAACTCAAGAAGGAAACTCGAAGGTGGAACGAGCTCGGGGATTGGCAGGTTGGTCTAGACCTAGGTTAGGCCACCTTAAATTAAATACGGATGCTAGTGTCTCTTCTGGATTATCATGTGACATTGGTTGGGTAATTCGGGATAGTGGATGTCAATTCGTCGTTGGAGGAACTTCAAGATGGGGTGGCGGGTGTTCACCGAAGGTGGCGGAGGCGCTATCAATTTTTGAAGCATTGAGTAGGCTTAAAGATGCTGGATGGGATAATATCTAGTTCTATTAGTATTTTTTCCACTCATGTGTGGCGGTGTATGAACCGTGTAGTTCAAGATCTTGCTTGAGCCGCCGTTTCTTTGTGTGATCGTCAAGTTTGGTTTAATCTTCCATCTTGTATTATGATTTCATTGATCTATGACTTATTAATAATAATTAACACTTTTCCCCCAAAAAAATTACAAATTTATCCATTCATCTAAGAACCTAAATTTTTATAGTACTTAATCACATGACTTGGGAAAACTGTCAAATAGGTCCTCGAACTTTCATAAAAAAGTCAATTAAGTCCTTCTATAAGAAACTCTGTCCGGTCGTCGCGATTTGGGGCGGTTCCCGGTGGAATTTTTTGATGAAATTTTTTGAGCATCTTATTCATCAAGTCTAGTTTACTCATACCAAATTTTAGCTAAAATTTTAATCGGGAGCGCATTGAAATTAATTCGAGAACGCAAAAATGCGCAGTTATCTTCAAGAATTAATTTGAATGTGTTCCGGTTTGAATTTTTAGCTTAAATTTTTTATGAATAAACTAGACTTGGTGAATAAGATGCTCAAAAAATTTCATCAAAAAATTTCACCGGGAACTACCCCAAATCGCGACGGTCGGACAGAACCTCCTATAGAAGGACTTATTTAATTGACCTTTTTATTAGGGGTGGTCCGGTTCTAACGATAGAACCATTCGATACCATGTCGTTTCGGAACGGTACAAAATGGTACGGTACAATACTACTCATGCTAAAAAATTTGAATAATTGCAATTAGTAGATATCATCACACCAACCAACTCACGTGAAATGTTGATATAAATACAAGAAATTGCATACGTACCACTAAAATTCACAAATGCACAAATAGTGCAACACACCTAAGAAAAAGTATATCAAAACGATAACACACGGGATAAATATCATCTTTAATTTACTAAGTTCATGTAAAAATATAAAAACGAATATTATCAAATTGTTGAATATAATAGAAATCTTCAACGTTCTTCATCGTTCTAGGTTAAATATTACTCCGTAGTTCTCACTTAATTTATAGTTGAACCTTGAAAGCTAATATTTAAATCATATTAAATAAGTTTTAAAAATTGCACAAACATGATACAACAAAAAGTCATGTACACTACATTACTAGAAACAAATACTCATTAATGATTTCTAAAATTTCAATATTTTTTCAATACATACCAAAATATAACATAAATTATCTAAAAAGAAAAAATAACAATATATATATATATATATATACACACACACATTTAGATATCTTAGGGACACATGAATATATACATACTTGGGCTATAAAATTGTTGGTCTATAAAAGAGATCTATTGGTATAGAAAAAATATAAAAAATTCAAATGCGTTATTTTCGAACGGTTCGGTCCGGTATTTTTCGGTTCTCGAAATCTAGGACCGGCCACCTACCCGTTTCAAATGGTACGGTTTCGGTACGGGATAAAAATCTATATAACCATTTAAATACCCGGTATTCGGTTCGGTACCATTACGGGACTGTTCGGTACCGGTTCGGTTCGGGTTTTATGCCCACCCGTACTAGTTTTTATGAAAGTTCGATGACCTATTTGACAGTTTCCCCACACAACTTATATTCAGTAAAAAATGGCTTAATCATTAAGTCGTGAAAATTCACTCCTTGCCATTAGACGCTTATTAAGACGTCTATTAAGTCAGCTTTTTTTATACCTAATATGGAATAAATATAAGCTAATAAATGTCATTATTCAGTGTTAATATAACTTAATAATAATATTAAATTGATTAATTTACTCTATGATTTATTCAGCACACAAAATAAACAACTTCATATACAAACATCACTTGATCCAGATAGACGTCTTAATCTAAATATATAACTTAATAAGAGATTAGGTAGAGCTTAATAGGAAAAAGAAATTAAATAAGAGAGAATTCCTCAAATAGGAGTAAAACATAGGCAAAATGCAAAAATAGGAGTATCATGTTTTGAATAGGAGTAACTTTAATGTTTGTACAAGTATACCCCTACCCAAACCCCAACAACTTTCATTAATAATTAAACCATAAAAGAAATACTCCCTAAGATTAATTAATTTATAATAAAATTGTAAAAAAACAAAAAAAAAATACACAAAAATATCAAATAAAATATACTCTGTATTAAATAAAATAAAAAATTAATATAATAAAAAAATAAAAAACTAAAAAAATTAAAAAAAATGAAAAAAAATAAAAAAATATGTAGGCGTCTGCCGCCGCCTCAACAACCTCCCAGCACCACCAGCTCCGAAAAACAAAAAAAATGCCAACATTTTCCAGAAATGCCATCAAGATGGTTGATTTTGAGAAATTTTGGCATTTTCAAAGAGTAAAACTGTCATCTTTATTGCATTTTCAAAGAAAAATGACAATTTTTACATAAAATGACATTTTTTTCATCGATCGGAGGTGACATTGCTGGGTGATGACCGAGGCTGCGGGAAAGGCCCGCATATTTTGTTTATATCTTTTAATACAGTTTATCTATTTTTTATTCATTTTTAAAGTTTTTTATTTTTACAATTTTGTTTTTTAATTTTTAATATTTTAATATTGTTGGGATGAACTTAGATTATTTTTAAAATTAAATGGCCTGCATAAAGGTATTGTTTCCGATGAATGAACTTAGATTTTTTTTTAACATGCCAGGATCAAATAAGTTATATTTTAAAATTAAGGGTACAAAATTAATGTTTACCCAAAATAAGTTTTAAATTTTACTTCTATTTATGTAATTATGTTTATGTTTACTCCTATATTGGGCAATTTCTCGTTAAATAACTCTAAGTCAAAATACGCAATTTCGTAGTATCCTACAAATAAAGTTGTCCGTACTCTATACTTACTAACTAGTAATACAGTGAACAAGATCCGGCCTTAGCTCAGTTGGCAGAGCGACGGATTGAGTCCGTCCAATTGTTGGATGGCATGAATGTTACAATCCAGTAGGTCGCTGGATCGAGACCAGCAGGCCGGAATTAATTTTACGGTTCCATGTCTATTTTTTTCACTCCACATCACCTTGTGTTCCCACAGTAAAATTTACGGAGTAAAATTTTAACCATACGATTACCGCAGGTAAATACGGATTCTCAGGTTAATTTTGAACAGGCCGTAAATCGTAACTTCGTATATGGGTCTCCAACTCTCCATTGTTCGAAGTTCCACAATGGCGGATCACCGCCATTTTCCGGAAGAAATCCTGATCGAGATCCTCACGAGGCTCCCGGTTAAATCCTTAGTACGCTTCACTGCAGTTTCCAAGTCTTGGTTCTTCTTCATCACCAGGTTCTCCTTCGCCTCCGCGCACCTCCGCCATTCTCTGGAAGGTAATTCTGCCAACAGCGTCCTCCTCCTCAGGCGTTTTGAAAGTAAATCAAAAAAGGAAAAATACGAAATCCTCAATAGTCATTCACTTTCCCTGACCAGTTCTTCCGAACTCAGCTCCCAGGTTGCATGTCGGGTCGGGTACTCTCGTGTAGTTGGCTGTTACAACGGCGTCGTTTGCTTATATGATGATTTGTATAGCGATTCACACGCTGTGACCCTGTGGAACCCTAGTATTCGGAAGCATTTGATCTTACCGCCTCCCACCATCAAACAAGGGCGCCCGCTTAAGTCTGTATTGGGATTTGGTGTGAACCCGAACTGTGTTTATGATCTGAAAGTCGTGAGAGTTGCGTATGAAAGGAATGGTGACTATTTGGATCTGTGTGCCCTACCGCCGGAGGCTGAAATTTATTCTCTAAGCACAGGGGAGTGGAGAAGGATATCAGCAGCAGGCGTGAACTTTTATATGACCGATTTCATTTGGTCTCAAACGTTCGTCTGTGGGGCCATTCATTGGATTGGGTGCAAATCGCTGGAGAATGAGAGGTTTCAGTCCTCTGTAGCAGTTTTCTCAATGGCTGATGAGTTGTTTGGTGAGATTATGCTCCCAGATGAATTGACTCGGGAACCTGCAGCAAATTTATATATTATGGCATTGGATGAGTCTATTTCTGTTGTTAAGTATAATAGAGAGGTCCACCGAAATTCATGTGAACTGTGGGTCATGAAAGAGTATGGGGTTGTGGAATCTTGGAGTAGGCTACATTCTATTGAATTGGTCGAAGGGATGGAAAGAATGGTTGGCTTTGGGAAAAATGGTGACATTTTTTTCTCTACTAACAAGAGTGAGCTCGTTTCATACTGTCCAAACACCCAAGTAGTAAATAAGCTTGGATTTTTTGGGACTTGCCGCTCACTTTATGTTGCGAATTACGTAGAAACTCTTCTACTGCTTCAAGACCATAGCTGCATCATGGAGGGCCTAGCTAAACAAATAAAAAGTATGTAGTATGTCAATTTGAAGAGAAGATAGAGTGTGGTGGTTCCTTATAAGGGTAAGTAAGTTCTTAAGTTACAATATATATCTAATTTACTGAACTTTCAATGCCTCTTAATGATGATTTTTGTGGATATTTAGTGCCCATTTTGAAACCTTTTTTTTTGCCTCAGCCTTATATGTCAGATTATTTACGAATCGCTAATTTTTGGATTTCCCCCCCCGAATTGATTAATGATAGAAAGATGTAAGGTTGGTGGTACTCTTTAGACAGAGTTGGCGGAAGAGGATCATTTTAGCTTTTATCATTTACATTTATTTGCTTATTTAATAAAGTAAATATTTTATTACTCCTGTATATTTTTTTCATAATTGAGCAGATTCGGGCATATCTTCTGCAGTTTCAGCTGAATTGACCAATTTTAGTCTTACCAAACAGGCTTTGCTAGAATGCTAGTTTGCCTGTAAAAAATGAAATAGTATGTTGATTATGATACATTAAATCAAATTCTAATGATGCCCTTTTGAAACAAAGTTATGCAATATGTTTGTAAATCACTTAGGTGAAGAAGGCTAGAGAATAGAATCAATAGATAAGCCCAAATAGTGTACACTGAAGGTCATCAAGCAAGCAACTTTTAAATGTGCCAAGTTTACTATGTTTCATTTTGCTTTGGTGAGCTATTCAAATAACTTTTATTAGCTAGAAAGAACGTGTAAGCAATTCAAGTAGCCTTTGTGGAATATATTATAAGTTTATAATGAAATGTGTGTCGGGGATTTAGTAACTGATCCAAGCTGCTTCATAATTTATCCTGTGAATCTTCTTTTCGACTGAATGTACATTTTGTTTTCTCCTCGACTAGATTCCCTGTCTTCCTTCATACGGAGTAATAATATTGGTTAGGATAAACTTTAATCTTTTTCTTTTCTGGTGGATATTATATAAGAACTATTTTAGCATTCGAAATGTATATTCATTACAAAATGAGTAATTGGCCAATCCAGCAACACCTATATATGCATTTTATAAGGGAGTATGAGGCTTATCCTTGTGAGGCAAAAGCAAATACATGCAAGGCTCTAAGCCCATTTAGTCATTTTAAAACCTTTTTACATGGGAGCTTCAGAGGACAGTAGAATTGGAAAAATTAGATAGGGCAAGATCATGAGTTATTATTACATGAAGAATAAACTATGAACAGAAAGTTACATGAGGCCCTGTCTGTACTTTGTAGTAAAACTGCGGATGTGGATTTGTAACCGAAGGGCCCCTGTTTGTACTTTGTAATGATGGATAATTTTAAACAATTCAAAATAAAGAACTTCCTTAGCAACAAAAAAAGAGTATCATATATCATGCCAGTTCTTTTCACATGTTGATAATGCAAGGGAAATAGAATAGAAGAGAATGTAAGAATAAAATTTGAAGGAAATAAGATGTTAGTGAAAACAAAGCATTGGTTCAAACTCAAATGTATGTTCATTGTTCGTTCAAGTTCACCTTTTTAATTTTTTTCTATTATATAAATACTAAGAAATATATGGGTCATTCGGAAACAGTCTATCTGCGTGTTAGTGCAGGGGTAAGACTGCGTACATCTGACCCCATTACCCACCGTAGGTGGGAGCCTTTGCGGCACTGGGGTAATGATGATGATTGGATAGAGACAGCACCTGTGAACTTGGACAGACGGTATGTGAGTGCGAACTTGGAGAAACGGGTCACGAGTGCGAAGCGAAAGATTCTCCCGTCAATTGCGAGTGCGAGGCGTTATAATTACTAAGAAATCTAATCATATTTCATTTCCCTTGCCGTTTTTTAAAAGCAATCATATTGAAATAACTTTTATAAGCATTTTCTTTCAATTTTCCACTATCCTAACATAGAGTAATAGAACATTATCACCTAAAATTCTCTCAAGATAATTGCATCTTTTAATAAGCATTTTAAATAGAAGGAACCCTTGCATTTTGTCATCTTTGCTATGAACTTCACCTTAACCCTTGGTTTACTTCCTATTCTGAGCAGGTTATTAGTATATATATGCGTCAAGCTGAAGATAGTTAATGGGATCTGCTTGCTCAAGAGTTCAACTTCGTTTTGAAATAGTATATGCTGCCAAATTTGTATGGAAGTTAAGATTGGGTCTGCCAAAGACCCGTTTGTTAACTCTTATTTTTGGCGTACAGGCTTTATCCCAAACACTTGAACACTTTATTTAATGAAAAGGTTGGAGTTACTTTTATAGCCGAATGGGATGAAATTGCTTAAGAAGATTATTTTAGCTTTTTTCATATAATTTTTCTATGTTTAATTAATACTCCCTCCGTCCCAATTTGATTTGCAAAATTTCCTTTTTTGGTTGTTCCAAAATGTTTTTCCACTTTCTTTTAGGTATGCAAATAAGAATAAAGTGACAAATTTATCCTTACTTTTACTTTTTCCCTGTTAACTTAAAGGCATATACTTTTAGAAAGATGGGCAAAAATGTAAAAGGCAAACATCATTTATTGTCATTTCTTAATCCTTGTGTCGATCAAAGTTTGCAATTCAATTCGGGACGGAGGGAGTATATGTTACCTCCGTCCCTTAAAACTTTTAATCTCGTAAAGTTTGGACAATGATTTTGATGAGTAGTACTATGCATAATACTACGTATTATGGAAGTTATAAATTTTAATACTTTTATGAAAGTATTTTTAACACAAAACATTTTCATGATAATTTATAAATAATTTCCAATAAAAATATTTAGTTGGTCAAAGTTTCAAATATGATAAAATTTTAAGAGTAGGAATAACATATTTCAAATGTATTTTTTTATAATTCAGCAGATTTGACAATTCATTCTCAATTTCGGCCTATTCCAATGTTGCCAAATGGGATTTAAGATTGTTCTAGTGCAAGATTCATTTAGATTACTCCCTCCGTCCTCCAAAAAAATACTCCCTCCGTCCAAAAAAAATACTTTTCACTCTCAAAAAAAATACTTCCCAATTTGATTTGGCACGTTTATTAAGAAAGTGAGAATAAAGTAAAATGTATGATTGTGGTTGAGTAAGAAAAATTTAATGAATGTTAGTCATACAAAACTTTTCAAAAGATGAAATGTGAAAAAAAAAATGGACATTCCAAAATGATAAGTGTGGAGAATTTTGTGGGGCGGAGGGAGTAGTTGTTAGATTACGTTCTTGTAACAATTTATCATTATATTTGAAAGTATATCATTTGGAATTGGAGTGCAGGATTCATGAACAATTTTCTACCCCTAACTCCCTAAAGGCCTGTTTGGTTTGGGGTAGGGGTGGACTCGGGTCCGGGCCGGGTCCGGGTTCGGGTCGGGCCTAGGCCCGGGCGGGCCGGCGGTTCAGAAATGGTGGACCCGGGACCAGCCCGAGTAACCACCGGGTCCGGTCCGGGCCGGGCTCATTATAATTTTTTTTTATTTTCCTCTTCCTAATTAACCCCCCTCCCCCCCCAACCCCCCAAACCACCCCAAAGGGCCCAAAATACCCAGCCCAACCCGAAAATTTAAAAAAAATTGAAAAAAAAAATAGGTTTTGGCCCGATCCGGGCCCAGACCCGGCCGGGTCGGGCCTTGTTTTGGGTGACCCGAGCTCGGACCGGAAAACCCACGGGCCGGGCCTACCCGGACCGGTCACTGACCGGGCCACCGGGTCAGGCCGGGCCGGAACAGTACCGGTCCCGGGCCGGTTCCGGGTCGGGCCACCCGGCCCGAGTCCACCCCTAGTTTGGGGTAATCTCACATGAAGGCCGAGTTTGGTTCACGAGTTCGGAATGTGATGCACGGAATGTCAGATACCCATGTTTGGTTCACGAGTTTGAGAAAAAATCGTAAAAGTTACATTTCCAGGAATGTAATATGGAGGAGAATCTTATAACCATCCATGCCTTAGGTTATCTTACATTCCCGGAGATGGTCTAATTTTCTTCCGAAAATACCTTCAATTAATTATCTCTTTTCAATTAATTTCTTTATATAGTGCGATTTTATAAAACTTTTAATTTAGTTTCTAAATATGTAAATTTTATTTACTAAAAAATAATCTTATCATTGAAAGAGATCAATTAGTTTTATGGTCAGACGATCATAGATTGTGTGACAACCTATTAAGTGGGACAAATGGAGTATAATTATTTAATTATATTCAAATGTCTATTCTTGTTATTTTCATAATTCTGTTTTCCTTAACATTTAAATTTTTTAAGGTATTTATTCTATAAGACTTATAGATTATTTAAGTTTTTGATGGGTGAATTTCAAAATTTAATGGCAAAATTGATCATTTTTATTTAATTTGAAAAGAAGTTTTATGAATAACTTGAACATATTTAAATTTAATTTTTTAAAATAATAATAAATATATTTGGATTACTATTTGAACAAAGTTTTTTTCACTTTTGAATTGGATCTACAACTTTTTACAATTAAACGTAATTTACTAAAAAATAATTCAATTAGGTTTAATTTTATTTATTATTAAGATATTTCATTTTTTCTTTAATTTTAATTACTTTAGATGTAGGTTGTAATATATTTATTGTGTTAAGATAAAATATTTAAAGAACATTGAAGTAATTCACCATATGTGCGATATAAGATATCTTTCAACCAAGTAAATTAATATCACATTCCCCTAATCTTAACCAAACACAAATGGGAATAAATTGGATACATTCCCATCAATCTAACATTCTCAGCAATCTGACATTCTCGTGTTAATCTGACATTCCCTAAACCAAACGCCCCCTAAATGTGACCAAATATTTTTTTTTATTCTCATGTGATGATGAATATGTGCATGACAGCTGTATTTTTTCCATTTAAATAATTATTTCTAGCTGCGTAGTTAATAATTATTGCAATTAGTTTTTTTTCTATTTATTATTTAGTCTTTGGTAACTCATGTTATTAATGATGGCTTACCTTAACCCTCCTAGTCGTAGTCAAAATCATTAAGTCGGTTTCTTGATTTCATCAAGTCTTACATGTAAGTTATAAGTCATGTTATAATTGCATATTATTTATTAGGAGTTATAATTACATATTATCTACAATTGTTGGTTAAAAATAATAATGATAGTCAAAACAATTAAATTGGTTCCTTATAACATCAAGTCTTAGTTATAACTCATGTCATAATTGCATACTATCTCAGATTACAAATTTGTTGAACCTTAACTTATAAATATGGCACATTGCCATTGCTGAACCTAGTTATTATTAGATTAATGAATCATCTTCTAAGCCATGGAAGAAGATGACAAGGTACTCGATCTTGGTCTAGGACTTGGATTAGGTCTTTGCAATCCCAAAGAGGAAAGATTACCCACTCAAACAACTATTGGCATTTGTTTGGATCTTTCCCTTCCCATTCATCCCAATGACCAAAGTGGGGAGATTATTGAGATTTCTAAACCATGTGAGATGGATGAAGAATGTGAGAATTCTTATGGCAGGAAGAAGTTGAGGTTAAATAAGGAACAGTCTGCAATACTTGAAGAATGTTTCAAGCATCATACCACCCTTACCATGGTATCAATTGTGAATCAACCTTTCATTCCATAATGTCAAGTTTCATTCTCCTTCACTTTAGTATTGTGATTGTGTATACAATTTATTCCATATTCAATAATTTGTCTACCACACCATAATACCATATGGAGGATCAGTTCTGGACTTCTGCCCCCAACCCTGAAGGATAAACAGTACCGTGTGTAAATGCGACATTTTAGAATACGCCGTCTGTTATAAATAGTGAGCTAAATGATAGTTATAAAAGAATGTTCGTTTGACGTTAATTAAATTAATTTTTTATGTCTGAGAAACTAATTTTTCAGAGTTCAAACTTTAAATCAACTCAAAATTGATACGGGATTAGGGAGTATATAATTTTCATTCGAGATCTACAAAACAATGTCATTAGCTCAGAACGTTAGGTCAAGAATGGCTAAATGCAACATGTAACCTTTCGATAAAAAACCCCCATGCCCACGACTCTCACAAGGTTCAAAATCCACCCATGTATACAAAATGGTCATTAGCATTAGATTTTTTCTATAATTAAATTATTAAATTTTAAATAATATACCATCAGTACATTCTTTTTGCTTCTAAATTATTGAATATTCCAAACATACGTGATTGCAGGGTCGGAAACATGAACTTGCAGCGAAGTTGAATCTTAGGCCAAGACAAGTAGAAGTTTGGTTTCAAAACCGAAGAGCAAGGTGAATAATCTAATCTCGTTACTTTCAGGTCTTCATCCTTTTTCCTATGTTAATTTAGTGGAAATCCGTGCATTAATATGCAGGACTAAACTGAAGCAAACTGAGGTAGATTGCAAGCTGTTGAAGAAGTATTGTGAGAATCTAAATAATGAAAATATTCGGTTGAAAAGAGAATTAAACGAGCTGCGATCGGCATGCAAATTTGAGCAGCTTCTATCGCCATTTGCAGACAAGCTTCATAAGGCTAAGAAGACTATAGTAACTTGTCCATCTTGTGAGAAAATGACACAAGGAATCAAATGTGATAGCAGTGATAAACATAACAAGACTGAACCGAAGGATGCTCTTTTGGAACTAAAAAACAGTCCTTAATTCTGAGAAAACAAACAATTTTTTGTCCTACGACTGTTGGTTATTCTTACTTTTGGTCCAAACTTTCATTCTTCCACTTTTAGCCTCATGATTACTACATATTTTTTGTTCATTATGGTCCTGAGTCTCCTGATGACCTATATGGTTGATTTCCATACAATTTCTTGTTAACTTTTGCTGGATTAGCAAGAAAGGACCAAAAGTGGTAAAAAGTCATAATGTAGAAAAAGATAATTAATGTTATCCATACAAATGAGAATAATGTAATGGCCATGGAACCAAAGATCCATTTTTTCCTAATTCTAACCCCCACAACAACAACAACATCCAAGCCTTATTCCCAAAAGATTTTGGGGTCAACTAACATGAATCTATCCATGATATCAGAGCCCAAATAAAAGATAAAAAAGAATATGAGAAAATAACAAAGCTAAGAATAAAAGATACTCCATAAATACGTACTATAAGATAACAATAACATAAGAATATATGAAATATAAAAGATAAAAGAGAATAAGAAAGATAAAAGATAAAAGAGAATAAGAAAGATAAAAGATAAAAGAGAATAAGAAAGATAAAAGATAAAAATAACAAATGAACATATAAAGTAAAAAAAAAAGATAAACGATAAAAGAAAATGAGAGAAAAGAGAGAAAAGAGATCAATCGTCCACACAAATTCTAACCCCCAAGAAACACACACACACACACACACACAAGTGATTTACTGGTTTGACTTCTTTTGTGACATTCTTGCCCAAAAAAAGAGAGGGACAGTGAGAGACAATTGCGCAGAAACTACTAGGACTACTAGGATTCCATAATAAAGTCTTTTTTTGGTATTTTTATTTGATGCCTTTTATTATGATACAAATACAATGACGCCATGTTTTGTGTTACAAGAATTATACACAGATCTAGTTTTCAAACACAAACACTTTAATCATCTATGAAGATTACCTCGAGACGTCATATTTGTCAGACAGATTGAAGCCCACACACTAGCCCATTCAAATAGATGCTGACATCTTGGGGTTACTACTCATACCCGCGTATTATTTTTCTTGATCATCCGGAGTAGAGTATCCCAAACTAGTCTTTTGTAACCCACCTGTGGCCACGTATTTGGAAACCACCATAAGTATAATCATTGCTACTCTCCCCACCACTTTCGCTTGTGTACCCAGAATTCCGACGTTGTTTCTTTTTCTTAGAGGTCGTGGTTCTCCCACTGTCGCTGACACTTCCATTTAAAAGAGGATCATCTATCCCACGTATAACCCTTGGGGTTTGAGATGTTGGAGTTGTTGTGGCCACACAACTGTCATCCTTTGCTCTCCTCCCCCGTTTGTCATGTTTCATATTTTCAGAGATCTTTTGCAACTTCTCATTGAATCTTGTGAATCCTTTCTCCATTGGCTCCACTGCATGGGTCACCGTGAACTTCACATCATTCACAATCTGGATGCAACACAAACACTTGTCATAAAAGGAGCCGTGGGAACTAAGTCAATTTTAGTACAAAATTACAAATACACTGGTATTATTATATACTATGGGTATATGAGTAACTTTTAATGAAAATATGATGAAAATAGTCACAAAGTTCATCACTTGTCCCTGTATGCAAAAAGTGCACATGCATACATTACATAAACTGTGTCAGAGTTTGAAACAAAATGAGCTTATCTTAAAAAATATGATGACAACTTCTAAACACCCACATGTGCACTTTTATGCATATAAGCGTGCAATTTGTATCGTAAATCACTGCACATTGATGTTTCACATGTCTACAGTTTTGCTCAGCAAGATCTTTAAGTTCTATGTTTGTATGAGAGAGATAGACTGGAAATCGGAAAAGAATGACACTTGAGGTCCATCAGTTAATCTGTAGCAGATTATGTTCCAGGGTTTCAAATGGCAACATTAATACGTTTTTAATCCCTAAATCATCCTTAAAGTAGTGATTTTAGTCCCTCAATATGAATTTTTATGATTCTTCAATCTTTCTTTGATTATAACTAATGTCATGAAATTACAATATAGATTGCTTTTGAAGAACAGGAAAGTGAATTTCTCACATGCAGAAGTCCACAGTAGAATCAACATGTTGATTATGAGACTATAATACTAAAAGAAAAAGTAAAATATCAAAACTTAACCTACTGTTCCCGTATAAATGGGGGACCAAAGTCCATTTTCCCTTTAACATAACATATCTCAGGCAAGAAGAGGACATCTCAATAGTAAGCATATCTCAACTTAAATGCATTTCTTTGGTCTAGCTAATCTGAACATGTCAACAATACAAAAAGTTAACTACATTAGCATTCGGCATTACAGACTTTTCTATCAAAAAGGCGCTCAATAAGAAATTAGCTAGAGAAAATACTTACATATTCACCAGCACCCATAACGACATCACGAACACTCTCTCTAATGGTCGTTTTGCTTGAATCTTTAACATCAGAATGGAGCGGAAGACGCATTTTAGTTGGTCGCTCACTGTCCCTAACCTCTTCAGGGTCTATGGGGCAGTCAGCAGATAGGTAGTCCCCAAGTACTGAAACACCCCCAGGAAAACGCTCTCCCATCAGCTCATATGGATTTGCAGGAAAAACATAGAGGTGGACCATTGAAGCAATGCCCATCTGTCCTGGACAATATTCACAAGCAAGTCAAACTTATACTTCGTATTAGTTAGAGGTGATCATTAGTGGGTCCATTTGGAACCCGGAAAATACCAGGGAAAGAGGGAAATGAGAACAAAAGACTAATCCAGGGGAAATCAACGACAAAGTCAAACCAAAAAAATCAATTTTAGATGTTGTTGGATTTCCTGTAGTATTTGAAAAACAAAATCCATGGGAAAAAAGTGACAAAAAATACCAAAATAGTCCGCATGGCAAATGGAACATAATTATGGTCACTACTGTCACCACAAACATGGCCAACGTGTTGTAAAATTCACATTTTTCTTCTAAAATGTGTCATTATTTCTTCTATAAATTTTATATAAATGAATATACAATTATTATTAAAAATCAAATAATAAAAATATATGACTTTTTCCCAAGGTAAAGCCAAACATAAAAAAAATAACTTCATTAACATTTGTTCCCTTTCACTAGCAGTTCCTTGAACCAAACACACCCAATGAAATAAATACTGGTGAGAAACTGAGCATCCAAAATGTGTGTGTGTCCAGGTGAGAAGAACAATTACCTCGATACAAATAATAAAATCCTGAATGCTTGACTGCAACTGTAAAGCTTGAGCAATTGGGCTTTTAAAAATGCCCAGGCTGCATAAAAGGGCAATGGCCAACCCTTGCCACCAAGTCAAAAACACAATTGACTTAAATGTCAAAAACTTGTACAGCGGATTGATATGGTATAACTCATATTTTGTAATGGTATAGAATTGAATTAAGCAATACAATGCCCATGACTGACTGAAATTTAAAACCACCGCCAAGTAAGGGTACCTTATAAGAAAAGGAAAACAAAAGGTCATGTAACTTATAAGAAATATGGCTATGGATTTTAAAAGCACTGTCCATCTATGAAATAAGAAATACACTTCCCATACCCACAGTTCCACTTGAATTCTCCCTCGCAGTACACATGAAAAGCTTCCAGAATTACTGCTAGAATAGCAGTAAATGCTTTTATTATCATCTGCCATCAAGATTCATGTGTTCTTCGATAACAATTTATACGATCCAAGAAAGAAAGAAATTAACAGCTGGCAGTGGGCTAACATATCATAAAAATAGAGCTATGGCACTTACATATTGAACAATCCCAAACTTGATAACTTCATAAACCCATCGATCCAGCTTCCAGGGCTTAAGAATAAGATTGGTTGGGAACGGATGCTTTATAATTCCCCTCTCATGGCCACCGCCCTCCTCCAGTAGGGGTACCTTTGAGCCTATTTGTCCTTCCCTCTCCATAAACTCTAGTGTTCTCTCTTCCCCACCTTTTCCAGGATACATAACATTAATGGTTTGTTTGGGTTAAAGAAAATGCAGGGAAGAGGAAACAAAATGCTAAGAAGAGTTAGTTTACTATTTTCGGTTTTACCATGGAAAAATACAATATATCTAATGTAGATTTACTGAGTCTGAACTCTGAAGCTATTTATACTTTGCCTCAATGTTTTTTTCATTCTAGTTTCTCTCTCTGTTTTCTTTCACTGGCATTTTCTAGGTTTGAAACGGACCGTGAGAGCATTAAAAGAAAGTTCTTGAAGTAGGATGAACAAAGGAAGAAAGTCAAGAAACATTTCAAGAAAAATTAAGAACAGAATCCACAAGCAAAAACAGCAGGCTAAATTTTATATGAGCCAAAGGGAATGTTTTATAGTTATCTATCAAATTTTATATGAAATCAAACTTAAGGATTTAAAACTAACAGGATAATTAACAGCTGTACCTAAACAGGCAACCAGATATCTTCCAAAGCAGTACATAGCAAAGGACTCATATCCATCTCGTAATATCTCCAAATACACACTGATTGCTGGATTCACCAAAGATAGAAACTGAAAAAAGAAACCCACATCAGTGTACACATTAGAGATTAATGTAATGCAGAACTGGAGCAATTTCCAGCTGCAGCAACAGGAAAATCTAGTACCTAATATTACTACATCCGTTCTTAAATAAGTGCAACATGGTTGAATTTTACACTATTCACATATTCTTTTTTTGACTAAGTTTTATTTATTAATGTATAAATAAATTATTTCAAACAAATATTGTTAAATTTGTCTTATCATAAACTTTCAAAATCTGATTTTTATCTTTTATTTTTTACTAATAGAGAATTAAATATATGATTTTCCATCATTTGCAATGGAGCCAAAGACTCGCAATTTTTTGGCTTGGGAATATGATGGAATAAAGCAAAATGGCTTACTGAACTGTCTGCTTCCTTGTTGTGAAGCAGCAAACAGTCCATGCAATTTTGGGCGCGATTTTCACTATGAGTCATCCGGAAATAGTCTCTATGTGCTATACTACAGAGGTAAGATTGTGTACATCCTACCCCCCTTATCCCACCGAAGGTGTGGGAGCCTTTGCGGCACTGGGGTAATGATGATGAATGATGATGATGATAATGATGAGAGAATTAAATATACGAATGGTTAAATTTGTGCATCCGCAAACGAGAAAAGTGGGGCTGGTGCATTTATTTAAGAATGGAAGTAGTATTTGACAAAAGGCAATAACCAAACTAAATATATAGACCTGACAATGTTGGATAATGTTTAAAACCAGTTCGAACCAACAAAAGCAATCAAACTTGTAAATTGTATTGAATAGTACTCCGTGGTAATTAGGAACAGGCTAATACTTCATAAACTTTGAACAAACGCTACAAGTCATTGGAAAATTGGAACAAAAGGGAAGAGATTATTTGGAGCTAAAAACAGCATACTTATCTGCCCAGTTGCAGGTAATTAAGCTTTGTCAAATAAAAGCATGCCTTCAATATATCTTCTTAAGAACCTCAAGTTCTATCAGCATATTAAACATTAGCTCGCTAAGTCCTACATTCCTACTGAAATAAATCATCATTTCTGACAATTGACAACAGTCAATTATTCTATCTTAACATTTTCTTTAAAGGGCTATGCAACTAGAGGTGGGATGAATATATGCTTGAAATACATACAAAGATAACTTAATGATAATAACCATAATAAGGTAATCAAAATCTCAAATCGAGTTGAACTAGACTCACAGATTCAATAGCATAGAATGGCACCATCAATATCACTCCAATCAAAAACTTTTGCTCCTGCCAGCAGCCCAAGATAAATCAAAACTCAAGAGTTCACATTTACATTGGCACTTACATTTAAAACCAATGCAAGACGAACAATGTAGATATTTATTCCTAAAACTACGCTTTTTACAAAAACTAAATAAATAAAAAAATATGACCTCAGGATTCTTGTAAGCTGAGAGGTGTTCGAGCAGAAGGTAAACAGAGAGGCCGAGAGAGAGAAGCGTGAAGAATCCTCCGATCAAAGTAGCCCATGTAGGTGGCGAGTAGCTGTTCAGCGAACTGTGCTTGACCCAATCGAAAGTCCCGTGCACGGATAAGGATGGTAATGGTGAGATCATCCAAGGCATCAGTGACGAATTAGGGCTTCCTTTGCTAAAGATTGGGGGTTTTGATTAAGATGATGATCTGAGATCATAGGAGTGGAGAATTTAGAATTCAAGTACGACCGCTTTCCCAGAAATTTGAAAAATTAAAACAAATAAAAAAGATGAGGACGTTAAAACTAGAGAACCATTGTGTGCTAGTCCAACCAATATTAGAACTTTCGGTGCAGTGTGCCCGGGTGATGATTATAGAAATATAGAATAGAGGCTTAAATATTTGTTTGTGTACGGTGCTTCACTTTCAAAACGATGTAATTTTTCACATTTTTTTAAGAAAATTCGTGTGAACGGTACATGTGTGTACAGTAACTGTTTTTTCTTTCTTTTTGTTCCAATAGCATGAATGATGTAACTCACGTGTAGAGATATGTAACTTACGTTAGTGATCAATGTAACTCACGTGCATTCGAAATATAACTTCTCAAATACATAGTATTAGAAATACAATATTGATTTCAATGTAAACAATGAAAAAAAGAGTCTAATTGCACAATTGCTTTAGATAAACCGTGAATATGTTTTGTTTTTAATATCATGACCATAAAAAAAAATTAAAAAAAATCATTTTTTTGTTTCAATGGCAGGGATTGATTTTTTAATGTAATTCATGTATAACTTAAGGTGTATACAGAATGTAACTTGTTGGGAAATTCAACAATTTTGTTTTTGTGTGTTTGAGAATAATATATATCATAAACATTGATTTCAATGTAAACAATAAAAAAAATTATCCTAATAGCTTAATTACTTTTTTAAAATAGTGAATATGCTTTATTTTTAATATTAGAGCTATAAATATGATATATCAGGGTTTATTCCGTTGTGTAACTCGAATGCATTAAGATGTAACTCACGCATATTAATATGTAACTCACGTACATTAAGATGTAACTCGCGCAGAAAAGATGTAACTCGCGTACATTAAGATGTAACTCGCGCATAAAAAGAGGTAACTTCATGATATATTATCAAATGTAACTTCAAGAATCAAAATAAACAAACTCAAAGTCTTGAAAATCTCTAAAAATATATAAAAGTGATAAAAAATTATATTATAGAAAAAGTGTGTCCTTATAAGAAATATTACAAAAAAGTGTTTGAATATAAAAAGTATATTACAAAAAAAGTATATGAATATAAAAAATATTACAGAAACAAAAATAGTGTATGAATATGAAATGCAATATACTTATTTTATTTAGATTAATAAACTTTTGTTGTGTATTGATAAAGAATAAAAAAATAGATTCAATTATAATTTAGGATGAAGATAAAAAAGTAGATTTGCCATTAAATATTTAATATTTTAATTTGATGAAAAAGAAAAGAATTGAACAAAAGAAGAATAAAGAAAGAAAAGCAAAAAAAGGAACGAACATTACTCCAGGGAGAAAGAAAAGGAAAGACATTTTCCTAAAGTTTGATCGGCACACCATGCGTAAGATGGATCACACGGTATAATTTGCGCTTAAATATAGGTTAGGCTGTGTTTGGAAAATGAAAGGTGTAGTTATCTCATTGATCTGGATTAAGATAGAGATTATTGAAAGTCAAATACTAGTAGAATGAAGTATATTTATTTGACAATAGAGCCAAAATAACGATTAAAGGATGTAAAATACCATAAAAATAAATGTACATGAACAGAATAAAATTGGAATAACAATATGGTAAATTCGACATAATCATGTAATAAATTAAAGGTTAAAGGGTCAAATAGGTCCTTGTACCCGCTCAAAATGCTCTAGTTGTCTCCTGAATTCTAAAAAGCTCCAATTCACCCCTTGAACTCAATAAAAAGTTCAAATTTCATTTTTGTAGGTAAAAATCTGGTCATCGTCACATCACCCGGTTAGATGCCAACTGTGTATCTCATGTGGCAATTTAAGGGGTCAAATAGGCCCATGAACTCGATAGAGTTGTTCAATTTATCCGCTCAACCGTTAAAAATTGTCAAAAAAGTTATTAGAAAATAAAAAATAAATAAAAATATAAAATAATATACAAGTTGATAATATAAAATATAGACATCTATTTATAATCTAATATGAATATATTTATATTTTGTGTTAAATTAAACTTATAAAAAACAAAAATAAACTATTTTTAAGTACATAATATAAAAATGTAATCAATATTTTCATATTATACTTTTTATATAGTATAAAATTTTTTATGGTGTAGATAATTATATGAAGTATAGTCTATAATTCTAGAATAAAATAATACGAATCATATATACATATATGCATGTGTGTGTAATTTTACATATAAATCTAAAACATAATAAAAATATTAAAAAATATCAAATGAAAAATACAACTGTAAAATATAAACATAACATAAATTGTACAATACAAAACCTAAAATATGTTTTAAAATACCAATTATTACATATAATACACAAAATAAAAATTTAATTTTAATTTGTAAACACATGTATTGTTTATTTAAAAAATAGATTTAAAATATCAAAATAGTTCTAATGAATTTCTTTTAGTTTATTTTTTATGAATCTATCGCGAGTATAAATATATCCTTATATTATTTAATAGATGTCTATATTTTATACTTTCGCCTTGTATCTTGTTTTATATTTGTATTTTTTATTTTTTTATTTCTTATTTTTTGGCAATTTCTTACACTTTTAACGGTTGAGTGGGCAAATTGAACAACTCTGTCTGGTTCAGGGAACTATTTGACCCCTTAAATTGCCATGTGGGATGCACTGATCGCATCTAACCGAACTTTAAAATTTTACCTGCAAAAAATAAGATTTGAAATTTTTTGTCAAGTTCAGGGGTGAATAAGAGCTTTTTAGAGTTTATGGAGCGAATTGAGCATTCTAGACGGGTACATGAGCTTATTTGACCCTTTAGCCTAGATTTAAGGGTTGAATTAAAACGCTGTATTAGCAACACTTAAATTCAGCTGATTAGTTTTAGATCTGGTCAACACTAGACATTCATCCAAACAAGACTACATACTCCTTGTGAGTTAATTGTCTAGATTAAGAAAGAATACCTCTGATCAAATTGAGAAAAATTATCCAAACTATTTGTCAAATAGTAAGTTAAACCTATGTTGAAATACATAGCGAGCTTTAAGTTACTACTGAGCATGACATGATGATATGAAATTTTGCACACTCTTTAATATTTAATATAGATAGTGGGGGTGTTTGGTAAATGGCGCTTCAGTCGAAAAATGACTGTTTGACCACTTACAACGTTTTTTATAATTGAAAAGTTGTTTGGTAAATAACTGTTCGGCACCAGCGTTTTGGACGAAAACGCTGAAATGAAAACGCTGTTAATAGGAGAGTTTTAGGTTGACGTTTTGAAAAATGACGTTTTCCACTGATTTTATTGTCAAACAGCTAAATTAACAAACATCTTCTGACAACCCGCCAATTTATTCCGCTAGTCAACCCCGCTGATCGAATCCGCTTTTGACACGCCCAGTGACTTGTTAGAAGGGGCATGTGCACTAATTGTATGTTGAATATGGACAATTTGATTGCTGTTTAAACATGTATGAAGGGGGGAGTTAACCATTCCATTCGTATGGAAATGAGGCTTCAACCTATATTTCATAAAAAATGGTTCACGCATAACAAAACCACATTCTAATTAAGTCATGCCTCATAAAGATTATTTTAAGTGTTTTTATTTCAACATTATGTTAAGTGAGATGATACTTTAAGCTCTTCACAAAATATATTAGACCAGATGAAACTCTCTTAGACTGTTTTGTTCTTTGGTTTATTTCAAAGTCTTTAAATCACTGGTTTATGACTAGTTGAAATAATTTTAAAGGAATTTGAATGTGCTGTGCATGATGGCGAAAAAGAAGATATCAAGAAGGATGATATATTATATTTCAAGATTTTAAAATGTTTGACAACATTTTTACAATATGAAATACACAACTATTAAATTTGAGAACCGTATCAAGGGCTTAATTGCTATCTATATACAACAATACTTATAGGATAATATTGATAGTATGTGTAAGTAGGCATGGACTCGGGCCAGATCGGGCCGCCGGTTAGTAATTCATGGGCCCGGAACCGGCCCGAGGTCTGGACGGTTTAGGCGGGGCCACCCGCCCGGGTCACGGGTCGGGCCACCCGCCGGGCCGGTTAAATCCAATTTTTTTATATATTTATACTGTATAGTTTTATACAAGTATTAAAAACAAACTTCAAGTGCATTTATTTGAAATGAAATAGGAACTACATTTGACAATTAAGAAAAAAATACAATATGAAATACATTTTGTAATCAATCGGAACTTCCCGCACCTCCTGGTCCTTTGGCTTTGTCACATGACTTAATATGCTTCATTGTCATCCCGTATCCGCGTGAAACCCCCATGCTACACTTTTTCCCGCACCATTTGCAAGTTGCGTACCACATCCCGGTCCTCGAGTCCTTCTGCTTATCAAAATTATACCGTATAACGGCATTTTGACTTTCTATCTTAAAAATGGTAGATATAATAATTCTACAATAGATGGAGATGAAGATGGAGAATGGAGATTAGAGATTGGATGTTGGAGAAGATGTGTATAAAAATGTTAGAGAATAAAAGTATTTATAGAATTTTTTGTACCCCACCCCCGGGACACCCTTGATTCAAGCACCCAACGGCTATATAGCCGTTTGGGGGGAATTGGGGCCTTGAGGAGCCTTTGTCCTTTGATTTCAAATTTTATTTGTTTATTTTACTTTGAATTTTTAAATAAATTACATAATGTAATATTAATTAATTTGAGAAATGCTACATATAAAAAAATTGACGTATATTTATTTGAAATATGAACTACAAGTTTACAAGTTACAATTGAGAATTGAAGGTAAAATTAAAACATGAATTACTAATCAATCGGAATCTCCGACATAGGTAGAGCCACCCTCGGTTGTAGATTCATCCATAAAGTGTTGGGATGGCGTGATGTCAATTTCTTGAGCTCTACGGGCCACCTTCAACCAATCGTGGTAGCATATAAGCATCTCAAGAGATTCTGCGCTCAACCTCGTTCTACATTGCGTTAGGACATTGCCGGCCGAACTAAATTCTTGTTCTACGGCAACTGTTAAAACCGGCATTGATAACACTTGCTTAGCCATCTTTGCTAAAACCGGGAACATTCTTTCTTTTCCCTTCTACCCCAGTGT